ACAAACAGACAGACAGATAAATAGATAGGTAGATAGATAGATAGATAGATAGATAGATAGATAGATAGATAGATAGATAAATAAATAAAAATAATAATGATAATTTACTGTCTGTGCATACAATGACACACTATAAAGGAAGCCCCTCAAACATTGGCAGGAAGTGATCTCCAAAATATATTGTTACATCAAACAAATACAACTAGATTAAAAACTTCTCGTGTTATTATTTGTTTTAAAAAAGGGGTGGTAGAGTGGTGAAGGGAGGAGAATATATGTTTATGCATAGATTGTCATGAGAAGCATTCACGAGCTGGTGATATTGTGTTTTTCCAGGAAGGAGTGTGCCCAATGGGTGCGAGGCTGGTGTCAGTTGACTTGTGCTGTATACCAGCCCAGCCCAAACTTAGTAGCTTGAAACAACCACCATTTTCTCCACCTCACATTTCTGTGGGTTGGCTGCACTGGCAGGGGCTTCTACACATGGTAATGTCAGAGTCCCCAGAAGCAAGGAGCAAGCCCAGTGGACACATACTTTCAAGCCTTTACTTGCATGATGCTTGTTGAGGTCCCTTTGGCCAAAGCAATTCACATGACCAAGTCCAAATTCAAAGTGGAGAAATAGATTCCATTTGTTAATGGGAAGAGCTACAAGATAATATGGCCAATGGTTTTAATCTGCCACATTGTGGGGCACGGGCAGGGAGGGAGAGACTTCTCTTCAGCCTTTTGTACTTTCTGAGTCGAGTCATGTCAATATTATCTATTCAAAAAGAACTCGAATATTAAAAATTGAAATACACTCCCTGAGATTAGCTTCAAAAGCGTCCAGTATTGAAGAGATGCGGGAGAGGGGAAAGAAGAGAAAGAGAGATATAGATGAAACAAGATTGGCCGTGAGTTGATAACTACTGGAGCTGGGTGATGAATGCATGAGACTCATAATACTCTTCTATTTTGTGGACATTTAAATTTCCTGCAACTAAAATAATAGGAATGGAATGAATAATAATAATAATAATAATAATAATAAAAAAGACCGATACCAAAAGCTCAAACTGACTGAGGCTTACTAACTTGGTAAAGGCATTGCCATCATTCCCTTTGATCCTCCCAACTACCCTGGAGGTAGTGGGGGGAGGAGGACTGTTTTGGTCCTGACAGCAGCCTTATTGAGGGTGCTGATACCATGGGGCCAGCTGCAAGTCAGGACACAGGGCGGCCCCAAGCAGAGATGCTAGACCTTGAGGAACCGTCAGAGAGCGGGTAAGAAAGGAGCCTTGGGGAGCTGCCTCCATAGTGTGGGCAGGACCAGTGACTGAAAAATCCAAGGGCTGGGATGGTGTTGGTGGTGGCTGAGGAGCTATAAAATACTTGACTGTTTCAGAAATGCACACAGAGCATCTGAGGGTAGAGAACAAGAAGGGGCCTTTCCAAAGGTTCCAGACCAAAATTATAGAGCACACAGGAACATCGGAAGGAAAATGACTCAGTGAGAAAAAAGGATACATTTTCTTGCCCCTTCACTCATCACTCTGCATGGCCATGTGTGCATGCAAGCTGCGTGCCCAGGGGGACCTCAAGCCACTCGCATGACCTGGGCCTGGCTCTGAGGGGTCCCATCTTGGAGCAGTTCTGAGAATGCTAAGCATGCAGG